GCTCTGTTTTCTTACCTCTTCCCTTCTTTTGCACTCCGGGCATTTCAGCCATCATTGATCATGGATGTTTGTTGTTCACAGCTGAAGTTAAATTGACCGGACTTCTTTCTGCAGATTGGACTAAAAGCATGACATCACTAAAGCATGAATGAGTCCTCTGAGCTTTGTGAGAGCAGCTATTCTAAGTTTACACACTGATGTCCTGCTGCCTCTTGTCTCTCCTCACCTTCTCATTTCCAACAGAAAGCCTCCCTTTCTATCCGTCCCCTCTGCTACCTGCCCTGCTACGCTTCACATCCCTCGTCACAGAGAGCGTAAACACGGGCCCATTTACACCAGGCACATGTGTGTTGGTGAGAGCCAATTTCCACTGCTGTTGTTGACATAGCGGGGTTTGATTAGCAGCGCTGCCTCGCGGCCGGGGCAGAGTGGCTAATGGTTTCCTCTGCAGCGGAGCCAGGGGCCTGCTCTGTGTCCGTAGCACTCAGCTAGCACAGCGCCATTAGCGACTGTGTGTTTGTGTGAGTGTGTGTGTGCAGGGTTAGGACAAAGATGAATTTGGTGAATCTGGAGAATGCATCATTCACTAATGAGTATGTCAACTTTCTAAACATACCGTATTACATCTTTTTAAATAAACAATAATTCATGATAATGTTTTATCTCTGTCTTCAACTAATCTCAAAGAAACCATAGACTGTGGATTTTGAATAAATGACATTTCCAGCTGATATCTCTATAAATTATGACACTATTTACCCAGAAAAGTGTGTGTACACATCAGATGAATGTGTGTGTGTGTGTGTGTGTGTTTGTGTGTGTGTGGGAGTGTTTAGCAGTGAAGTGCAGCAGCTGTTTTTTCTGCAGAGCAATTATTTCATTTTGCATGCAACGCGTGTCTGTTGCTCGTCAGTTGGCTAACAGGTGAGCACATCGCTGGCAGATGTGCTTACATATGTCTCGGTGCTGCATCTGTATGTTCTCGTATTAATGAATGAAATGTGCAAATGAAATTAATGTGAGTGCAGTTTAACATTTGCACTCATTTTTTATGCATGTGTGGGAACAAAAGCAGACAAACACACATACAATCAGTCTTACACTTGAAACTGAAGGCAGAGCAGGTTAGTAGTACTTGGTACATGTTCATTGTTTGAGGTGTTCTTTATGGCTCTAGAAAGGTTTGTTATAAATATCATATTTCAGTGCTTTTTCTGAATGAAACATCTTTGCATAAACACGGGTATTGGTGGGAGACACATGTTGTTTTCCAGCTGTTTAGGAGGACCAGTGTGGGGGTTCTAATAAGAATTTGGGTGGAGGGGGAATTACTAATTTCCTCCTTCCGTTTCCGAGGGGCAGGTGCAGGGTAACCCCCACCCCTTATTCCCCATGCTTCCACCATACACACACATTCCTGACTGTCATAAGGCGGAAGCACACACTCTCCCAGTACCAGATCACACTTTTCCTCTCACTGTAATCACACACACTCCCTGCACACATGTGGATGTAATATTGAGGCTGCTCTCAGAGGGAGGTGGGCTGAGGTATATGGTGCTGATGTGCTGGAAGTGTGAGTCAGATGTATTACACGGCGTGTCATTACAGCGCTGCACTCTCCTGGTCCCTGAGGTTCACATCACACCCTGTAGCTGCTCCACATCAGCTCAGAGACACATCTGCCTCCTCCTCTCCTCTCTGCCTCGCCCTTACATTTGATCAAATAAAACATGTATTTAAAGAAATAACATGATCAATAAGAATGGAAATAGAGTCATCGCTTTGCACTTTGTGAATGTTATCAGTAAATGACCTCTTCTGACCAATGAGAAATAGCTATATATATCACCAGGGTACGTATACAAGGAATAACAGAGGACATTTTGAAGTGCTAAAAGATCTCACATCAACATCTAGATATACAAACGCAACCACGCACTCGTCCTCTGGCTCGGTTTTGGACATTTGACTTGGACACTTTAGGTTAGCGGAGGTCCACAGAAACACAAAGACTGAACACATTCACTTCATCCAGCCTGCAGCCAGCTGTGTGACCCGGGCTGAGGAGCTCTCTGTGGGTCACTGAGGCCTGTGGACCCCCTAATCCCCCAGCTGCTTGCCCACACACACACACACACACACACACACACACACAAGTGCTAGTTACCACAATATGTCAGGACTTCCACTATTTCTGCTTCTATGCAAAGTTTTAACAATAATATTACACATTTTAATTGGGTTAATTCAATGTCAAGGGAAAAAAAAGTTGGATTCTTGCTTCCCTTCCTCCTGCAAAGACAGTTAAATGTAGACACTCTCCTGTCTGATAAAAAAATATAAGTGGTCCCATATGAGCAGGACCCATAAAGCCACTACTCCTGGACTACTAAACCATGTAACACCAGGGTCAAAGGTCATCCAGACCCGTGTACCCAGGCACTGCAGGAATGTATCCTACTTCATTCATGCCACCAAAGAATTGAACAAAGAACCTATTTAAGGTTACCTCAACTGGTACTGTTCATACAAACTCCGGTTTATTTATTTTGGGTTTGTGCGTAATTGGTAATAATTAAAACAATTTAGGGTGTTTTTATAGCAAAGTTACGCGAGTCAGTTTGGATTTCCTTGCAATTTGAATCCACAAGTGTACCATTTGTCAAAGGTTTACCCCTCACATGAAATTATTGTTGCTCCTTTGTCCTCCTTAAGCGCTGTAGAAGAGTAAGGAAAATAACAGAGTGCACATGGAGGATGTTACGGGGACGGTTACCATAGGTGACGTAAAAGGAGAGGAAGATGAATCGCCGGTGGAAAAAAAAGCGGAAATTGTGGATTGCAGAGAGTCGGGGGGGGGGGGGATTAGAGAGTGATGAGAGAAGAATGGGGAGCGGAGGTTCCTGTCCGTTTGGGTGGCCCTGAGTCGGGTAGAGACCCAGGTGTTCCCCCTCCTCTACCCCTGGATGCTCCTTTCTTTCCTTCCCTCTGTGCCTCCCCTGGTGGCCTTCACCATTTAATCTGGATTAATGAGCAGTTTGACCTTCATCTCCTCTCTCCAGCGTTTTAGAGTTTTTACCCAGACTGCCTCTACAACTGCTCTCTTTCTCTTACCTCTTCTCTTTATGCTGCCTTATCTCAAGCATGTGTGTGTGTGTGTGTTGTGTGTGTGTGTGTGTGTGTGTGTGTGTGTGTGTGTGTGTGTGTGTGTGTGTGTGTGTGTGTGTGTGTGTGTGTGTGTGTGTGTGTGTGTGTGTGTGTGTGTGTGTGTGTGTGTGTGTGTGTGTGTGTGTGTGTGTGTGTGTGCGGCTCTGCTGACTGACAAGGCAGCGCTGTTCATTCCTGGGACCACCTGTGTACCCTGTCCCACCGCTCTGTTTGGGTGGTCACAGAAAAAAAAAAACACACTGATATCTGGGACACACACTCATATAGAACTCCACGTCACCAGCGCCCATGAATATCCTCAAGGGAAGTCCTCTTTTGCGCACGCACACACACACACACACACACACACACACACACACACACACACACACACACACACACACACACACACACACACACTAGCTAATCTGCGGTGAGTGAGTCATTCTAATTGGCCAGTCAACAGGTGCCAGGCTGGACTCGGGGCGGGGGGGGGGGGGGGTGGCAGGGCAGAGGAGACGCAGGGATATGATTGCAGAACAAGGGAGAAGGCTAAGCTCAAGGCTTCTGTGTAATCACTACAGTGGGAGCCATTGTTGAGGGGTGGGAAGTAAATGTCTAAATCTGTTCCGCCGCGCTCTGCCGCTGAGTGATGCGGCATAATAGTTTGAAGTGTAGCCAATTAATGAACGCTTAAGCATTTGCTCCAACAATAGCATAAACATATGTGTTTACAGCCACTTGTATGACCAGTTTGTTATTTGTAGTCCTTTGATTTCTTTAGTGTAGCATTGTGCCAAACGACCTTTACAAACAGGAAATAGATGATAGAATTTATGCTGACTTTCTAGGGACTAACTTAGTTGAGTCTGTCAAGGCTTCCTGTTTTGTACCAGTACTTTTTAGGTGTGTGCATTTGGTTTATATGTGACTGTAACCACTTCTATATATGGCCTAGAAGAAGTCGTGATGCCGTCTTTGTTAGTGTTTACAAAGATACTTAATTTAGGATGTTGACAGGGCTGCTCGTAGATCACCACTTTTATAAATAGGAGAGTTTCCCCTCCACTTTTAGATTTGCTTTTAGATATGTGTGTCACCCGGCGCTGGAAACAGCACATAAGATGGAAAACATTCTTTTCTCTTACTCTCCCCTCTTTTCTCCCTCCTACCGTCTCCCCAAGTCCCGCGTGTCGCCTTACCCCGGGGTTTAGCCCCTAATCACCCGGAGCTACGGGGAGGGAACCGGAGACTTCCAGCTGGCTGCCTCGTTACTGCAGACCCCTGGGACACACACTCACACACACATTCCTACACACTCCAGCTAAACACACACACAGCCTCATATATGCTTACCAAGGCATTTGCTGTTATCTCTTGGCATCTCTCCATCCACGTTCTCCCCACAACTTGATCCTGCCAAGGCCACAGCCTCGCACCGTAAACTGAATAACAGGAGGAGGCTTACCGCAAGGGGGGGGGACCAGTTTAAACCAGTATTAAATATTGTCTTCCTCTATACTTTCTTTTTGCCGCTGCTTTTAATTGATATATTAATATCTCACAACTTGTATTCATGTACCTGTGTTATTCATGTTTTATTTTCTTTGCTTTTAAATGAGTGTTTTTAAATGCCATTTTATAATATGTTTCTGCTGCACTATTTCTTCATGCTCTTAATGTCTTTCAGTTTTGTAAAGCACTTTGAATTGCCTTGTGTTGAAAGGTGCTATATAAATAAACTTGCCTTGCCATGCCTTGCCTTACTCAAGCATAGATCTAGACTATATATGTGTTTCAGAAAGTCCTGCAATCCTATAGTTTGCTAATTTTCCATATTTCTCTTCCAGGAGGGATCCATATGACTACCCCACCCACTCCAGACCCGTGCCCAGAGACCCCGTCCCCCACCAGGGCCGTGTGCAGGCGCCCAACAACCAGCGCTACTACCCCTCGTCCCCCCGAGCAGATCAGCAGCACCGCGCCCCAGTGAGGCAGGACGTCCTGCCGCCCCCCCCCGCGGGCCAGAGAGGGGACCACTTCTATGAGGCCGCGGGGGGGCGAGTGGACGGGTACCGGCAGGCCAACCCGGGACGATACTCCAGCCCAGAGAGGCACCCCGACACCGGGGAGCGCTACAGGGACGACAGGCAGCCCGACCAGAGGCGGAAGAACCCTCTGATAGATGCAGTGTAGAAGGTACATAGATATAACAGATTCACCTGATCCCAGATCTGTGATATCAGCTGTCTCTGTCAGGGCAGATAAGTGAGAAACATATTAGTTTATCTGATAAAAGAACAAGAAGAGACCAGGCTTATTCTCAGAAGCATCTGGTCATAACTCTGGCCAGCTTTAACTAGTGTGTACATATATAATCATGTTGGCAAGCGCTTTGTGAATGTGCCAATGTATATTTTGATAGATTTTATTATTAAATTAAATGAAGGGCAATTCAATTAACAGCGTAGATATATAGAGTTAGTGTATGTTGTGTAGAATCAACTCTTTTCCAGCGTTTTGCACAAGCTGCAGAGGAAATGAAGGGATCACCTTGACCAGCCGCACCAGGAGACACAGGAAGTCGACAAAACAGGAAACAGGAAGTAACTCCCCTTCAAAGTGTCCTCTTGTCCTTCATGTTGGTCTCTTTGACTTCCTTTACATCCTGCCGTCACACTTTTTTTTCCCTTTGATTATTCGGATATATACGTAGCTTATACATTTTCTGTACATTTGTTAAATGCTTTGTATATGAGTCTGTGATATTTTTGTGGTGTTTCTATTATAATAAAATGTATAAATCTTGATCCACACACAAGCTACAGATAATATATGGATAATGTATGGTGCAGCTAATGAAACATGTTATCTTTAACTACTAGAACATATTAAAAGTGTCAAAAAATGCTATCGAATAAATTCATGATCTTTTTTTAAATACAAATATTTTGCATTAAATACTTTTGAAATTCAGTCTTTGAGCCGCACTAAATCATTTCATCCTTTTTCTGTTTCATTTAAGTAATTATCCAGATTATGAATATTTAAAATACCCAGTCAAACTGCGGCAAGGCTGTGAGTCATCACTTTAAAAATTCATTAAAAATATTCAGCTTAATTTCTCTGAGCACAATCTCCAGATACATTTGCCCTGTGAGATGACTGATAAGAGTAGCCGGCGTTCTGATAATGACTAAATCATATTCAACAATTAGAGGCAGGGAAATCTCAACTAGAAAATGATTAGCGACCAATTTGCTCTCAGAAATAAAGATGGCACTGATTGGTGAAATTAGACTTGAAATGGGGAATAATTAGAGTGTGGAGAAGGCTTTTACTATCAGTTAGTGTTTAATTAGCGTCAATGCCAACAAGGAGCTGCTGATCCACCTCGTCTCTGACCCCCCCCACCCCTGTCTGATTTGAAATAGACTTCAAACATAGATGCTTTTGGACAATGAACTATTTCCCATACAGTAACCTTCAAGCTGAGTTACAAATAAACAAATGCTTATTATAACCCACTTCTGTTCATATTAAAAACAACAGCATTACAATGCAAACATAAGCTGGATAAACAATAAAAAGGAAAAACACACAGCCGCTGTCTGCTGACCATCCTGTGATGACACAAATCACATTTCCATACTTCAAAAAGAGGGTTTTTAGTTCATTAACAGTCACATGTAGCGTAGCTTGATGATGACCAAAGGCATTAGCATGGCGTAACGATGCCACGATAATGGCATTACGCTGTGGTAATGCCTATAAAAAGCCATTGCAGTATGCAACGTTTGAGTGTCAGCTGATGAAAACGTTTCATGTATGCGCTATTCAAACTAAGAGAACACACTAACAGGAAGAAGGAATCGATCCCAAAATAAACATCTTTACCAAAGGTCTCACTTACCGCTTTCCTTAGGGTTTGGTGGGGGAGAGAAACTCCCTCTGGAGGGAACAGGGATTTGAGGCTTTGCAGACCATTTACATGCACACAAACCTATAGCACACACTGCAGGACAGGGAAAGCCCACCTGTTATTTACATCTATAACTATGGCAGTGTTTCCTATACATGAGCGATGTGTTCTCTCTTGAGGGCAACACATCTCACAGCACTTAAGCTGCCTTCACTGCCCGTCCGCCGTACTTTAAAGAATAACTACGCAGTAAACAGCCTCCTCCAAGTGCCTGTGGTCAGTTTGCTGCCAGAGACGATAAACAAAGCACGGACGGAACATCGCAGTATTAATTGCGTTTAACGTCCATTAAACAAAAGCACAGAAATCACTGTCAGCCGTGCTTGGCTCTAACACACATCTTGTGTAGGCTACTCAGTGTGTGTGTGTGTGTCTTGTGAGTGTCTGCACTTTGTTCACGGTCATTTAGAAGAGACTTTTAAAGTTCAACCACATGACACACACGCTCAGATGGACGCGGTCACGGCCCTCGATACGCTGACAGACATATTTTCATGCCTAGCATCAGCAACTTTTCCTCCCTTAGCATGAAATCAACACCCCTCCTTAGAAGCTTGTTGTCTATTCATCCGCCTGTAGTCGAAGTTCCTCGATTCTTCTTTTTGAAGACCCACTTATTTCCTTCTTGTGTTATGAGTTTGAATTAATTTGACACTTCATAAACCCCGATTCTTGTCGCAGAAGCACAGGCTGTTCCCCAGTCGATTGTCATGAACCGCGGGTTGTGGGAGAATTCCCCGGTTATGTTCTCGCAGCATTACCTATTCTGCCGGCGCCCCTGTCAAACACCTTAGCTTGTTAGCATGTGTCAATCAAAAGGGGCGCTCTGGGGAGGGCAAAGTGGAGCGCAGCATCGCTTATCTCTCCCACACAGCTCCCAAAAAGAGAGAGATGGAGGGGGGGGGGGGGGGATACAGTAGTGAAGGTATGGGTGAGTGCTCTCAGTGACCTCGGCTCACGTTGCCCCCCCTGCCTCTTTCATCCTCTTCATTAAAGGCACATTCCACCGCATTAGCCCGCTGTCCTTCTGTCCTTCACCTGCCGCCATTCATTTCAATTCAGCGCTCGTTAAAGGCATCATGGTCTGGGAATGGAGAGCAGTGGGAGCGGGCCGAGCGCAGCCCCTCATTTAATTATACAGTTCATTAGAAAGCGGCCCGCCTCCCCTCCCAGGTCTGAGACGGGCCATGGGAATAGCTGGTGGCTAATGTGCAGTTTAAACGGCCTGAATATGGAGATTGGGTGGAGTTATGGATTACCGTTAGCCGTTAGCCTGCCCTTCACCCACCTCATTGGCTTTTATGTCTGCTGTGTAGCCTTTTGATACAGTATCACTCAAGTTGGAGTGTGCTCTTTCAGCCAGCATGTTTGTTTGATATTGTTCACGAGCTGTGAAATTGAATTTCCACACTCGGGCTGATATTGAAAATAATTTCATATCCTGTGCAATATTCTTGCTTGGTTTCACCTTGTGCTGTGTTTAAGACATCCATTTTTACTTAATGTCTTCTTCCTTTTCGCTGAGTCGATGTTAATTTACAACATATTTACCCTAAAAAGCAGCGATGGCTTCCCGGCTGCCTCTCTCTTTGCCCACACACACACCACAGCATCTCTTACACTAAACTGTCGCCATGGCAACCGTGGTCGCCGCTCCTGGCACAGCAGCCCTGTGCAGAGCTGATGACATCGTCGTGGCAACAATGAAAGGTTCATGTATCCCATTATTGGGGGGAAAAAGCTGGATTTCTTTTTCGATTTTTTTGGGCAGGGTCACTGAGCCCCTGGAACATCACATCCTGTAAAATCCTTCATCAAATAAAACTCCCTTTGTTCTCTGCAGAGACGCTGCTACCACGTCACATATACTGGAACGTGGTGAGCTCTAGCATAAATACAAACCTGCCTTCAGTATGCCATACACAACATTTATAACTCTGTTTTCAAATGTCTTTTTAATCAAACATATCTTGAATGCAACATGAGCATCCCTCCTGAAAAAAGGGTTCTTTATTTGCTGGTCATATTCCTGCATCTGTAACCTCTTAAGTCTTATTTATACTCACAAGCTACGAGCATGAACACAAGCGCCTATTCTCATCATCAAAGAATTCTCCGCCATGCCAGGTTGCATACAAAGAAAATATTCTGTAAAGAAGCAAGAAGTCAACAAATGTTACTTGAAATAAACCATAGACCAAACATGCAAGGTTCTGTGGAGGAATCACCTGTCCAATAAGATAACTCAATTGAAAATACATGATGATGTGTCCGATGCTTGCACACCATCACCCTGCATTTACCAGGTTGCGCGTTCTTGCCAGCATTCCAAACTTTCCAAATATTCTCCTTAAATATCTCCCTGGACCCTCTCAGCTTTCCCATACCCCGGGGAGAAAAATCCTAAGAAGTTCTGCCGTGCCGGTGATGCTAACCCAGTGCTAGCAGTGCGGTTCACTGGGTTGTGCTGTGGCCGGCAACAGCTGAAGTCCGTGACCCCTGGACCCCATCCATCAGGCTTTCAGCACCGGCCTGGCCTCTGACACACACAACACTGCAGCCAAGCAAAGGAAGCACGCAACAGGGAAATGCATCACTGTGAGGCAGACACTGGAACCATATGAAATTATATGTATTGCACTTTGTCCAACACTTGACATGCATACAGCACAAATCGGCATGCAAGTTAACACAGTGCGGTTGAACATGTGATATGTAGTTAAACATATTTTGTGTGTGTGTGTGTGTGTGTGTGTGTGTGTGTGTGTGTCCAGACTGAGCTGTCCGTCATGCACACACTCATATCTTTGTTTAAGATCTCATTCTAACGCAAACTTTTCATATGCTTTCGCTGCTGTCTTACACACTATCTCTCTATAGCACTCGCACATGTTACCAGTGTGTGTGTGTGTGTGTCAGAGGCTCAGCTGACCGCCTGGCAGTGACTGTGAACTTGGCGCCCTTCTCCTACAGATGCCAGGTGTTTTGCTTGGCAGCCAGGGGTGCGGGGGTGAGCTTGTGTCAGGGGTGTTGGGTTGCTGTGAACTGCAGGGAAAAGTTGGGCTAATATGTCGTGTGTCCCTGTTAGCCCGGCCGCTGGCAGAGACCGAGCTGCGCCACGTCCAAGAGGAATTAGAGACTGCTTAGTTTCCGCATGAGCTTTAAAAAAAAAAACTAGTGATATACTAATACACACAATCTTTAACATTGTGACAGTGCTGTAGGGGCACTGTTTGTCCTGATGGGTCAAAGGTTAACCTTTTTTTGTAGTTTTTGACCTCATACTGTTTGGGCCGAGGTTGTTAACAAGGTGACGTTTGGTCCTTAAAGAACCAGTTCAACATCTTAAAAACTATTTAGTTGTAAGAAAGCACTGAAACTAGACAGTTAAGCTTAGCTTAGCACAAAGACTGGCACCAGTAGGGAACAGCTAGCCTGGCTCTGTTTAAAGGGTTCAATATCTGTCTATAAGCACCTGTAAAGCTCATATTATCTTGTTTTTAAGCTAACTATCTGTAGCTCCTGTCTGCAAAGAAGCAAATAATCATATCTCCCACAATTCCCAACTATTCCTTTGAAATGTGATACTCCAGTGTTATTATTAATAGATTTAACTTCTATAAAGTCGGGGCTGTTTGAAATTAACAAGAGTTAAATCCTTGGAGACAGAGATTTATAGTCTCGATTATTATCCCACAATGCAACTTGATAGCATCTTTAGTGAATAATAAGAGAGAGACACTACCAATCATTTTTACAATAAATGCTGCACAATGCATTTCGTTGTTTATGGAAAACATATGTTGACCGGAAACATTCCTCCACCAAATGCAAATCACAATTTCATGCACTGGCCTCTATTTTTTGTTCCAAGTGGAGTTTAATTTCTCAAATCACATGTGCGTCCATGCAGCTGCAACAAACAGGCAGGTCATTTGACTTCCGGCCTCATTTTAATTTTGCAGAGATGGTCATTCCGACGTGGATTAGATAA